TATTCAACAGTGTGCCAAATATGTGTAATCCGTCATGGTTGACAGGGAGTAACCGTCCTAATATCATCAGTTACGTACCTGAATCTAAATTACTTTGATATGTATTCTGATTATGGCCTTTCATGTTTTTCTTATCATTTGTCTTTGTTGTAGTAGATACGATGTTTTTTCGTAATTTTATTATTGAACAATCATTACAGTGAAACAAAATAACTAATATGTTTTCTCATGAAATATTATTTCTAATTCGATCACTTCAGTATTTTGTCCTCAATATCATTCGACATCGACTTATAATTAACTGAAGGAATCTAATTACGTATAAAATTGGTCAATATCAGCCATAGTAGATAAATTTATTAAGTCAATTGACGCATCAAAATAAAACCTATAATTACTTTTCGAATTTTAATATTTCTTGCCTCATGAGACTTTCATAAGTCATGACTATAACACTCTCTATATTTTGTAATTTTAATAAGATTTCGATACAAAAAAAAATACAGCAGTCTCTGGATATGACAAACTTTGGATTTAATGAATACAAAACTTGAAATTTCATATAGCCCGATATAAAAAGTGCTATTGGCTCTTAGTAAGGCTATTTTGAAATCACAATTTCGTTTAACATTCTCCCATCTATCTCCAAGGGCTATTAAACAAGCCAATCAGAAACATTCAACTGGTAATGTGCCAACCATTAATAGTAAGATTATTTTTGCGACATAATATAATATTTGTTCCCTCACTGTGCTTAAGCTAAAAAAAAGGAACGTTAAACGAAATAATAGTTTCAAACGCCTAAACATAGTAATTTTCTATAACAAACTTTATTTTCTCCCATAATCTCCAGTTTGTTATAGAAAGCGTAGATACGACTATAAGTATTATATCGGCTATCTCCGTAAAGATTCATATGTACTCAATTTTAAATATAATTTACTAATTATAAACGTTAAAATGATAATGATAATGATTAAAAACAAACGGAATCATACTGTCAAGATTAAACATGTGTAACTGATCCTTGAAGTGATGCTAGTTTCGCGGAGAGGGTTTAAATTTAAATAAACTTGATTATACCGTAACACGTGAAAAAATAACAAGCAGAAATACATTAATGATCATATGAGTTTGTTGGATAAGAATTTTTTATTTTCTTGTGCTATAATCGAATTTTCTTAAATAACCTTTTATTTGTATGATAAAGAATCAATCAAATCACAAGATCAGTTTAATATGAAAATGCAAAAATTGGTATAGATTATTAACAATTGTGTGATTAATTTTATTGTCCAGTATTCATTGAGATATTTGAAGGTATATATATACTTATGACACTTATGGCATACTCAGAAAAAAATGTTAACATGGAATTTCCAGACTATTTATTTAAAATATATACAATCAGATCTTGATAATCATAAAGATTTTAAATCTCTTCTATTTATTGTTATTAGAAAAAGAATTAACTTTGAATACAGTAGATCACATAAAATTTTAGTTACTAAGCCAGTTGTATCATTAATTGTTTTGTTTATACGGAGTGAATAACATGAATTCATATAAAGGGTAACAATATTTGTAATATTTGTGCATTTTTCAATGCAATAAGACAATCAAAATATGATCTTGATGACTTTCATTTTCCAAAATGGATTTAAATTTCTATATTTGGTAAACATTTTCAAATTACCGGCGGCACACATGTACATACGTACGTACATACTATTACAACTTATAGCAATTATTCTCTTATTATCAATCATGATTTACAATATGTATTTTAATTGTTTGAACCTTTTCTGACCTTGTAACTGCAGGTTAATTTTCATTTCTCCGTTTAATCCGGAGAACCAATGATGAGAACTCGTTAGATTAATTTAATTTCAAAATTTATGCGCGTTTCAGCGAGATGATCCTTTGAAACTTTAGTGCCTTAAAAGTTTAGTGATTTATAAGCAAATATGTTTTCATTTTCGAGACATTTTTTTGCATAACAATAATTTCAATTACGTAATATCTTAAAGTGTATGGTTGTACGTAGGTCGCTTATCATGACAACATACGCAGCACTTACATACTAGTTTGGACACCTGAGTTGTTGTGCGATGTATAATTAACCTAGTTTGGGCGATAATCTATATAAAATTCAATATCATATGGATTTTAAATGTCATATCTTTACATATATGCTTCGTGTAACCTTTCAAATATCTGCGTAATGCACACAATCTTTTTGTTCTCCGTGTTCCACTTGCTGATAACAAAGTTATTTGTTCGACAAAGCCTTTTCGTGATTAACTACATGCTATTTTACAACTTGTCAATAATCAATTATTTAAACTTCAAAAATTTTTCAACTTCATTGTATATATAAAAACATATTAAAGATATAATGGAAGAAACCGGATCTGAAAACATTCAAATTTCTAAACTTAATAATTTCATTGATTTTAATTTCAATGAATTTATAAAAGATTCAAAAAATTTCTATTCAATTAAATCAAATTCTGATATTTTTTATCTCGAAAATTGTGATGATGATATATTAAATTTATTTAATCATTTTTTCGAAATATTTAATAATCACTACGCTCCAGTTTATGTGGTTAATGTACTTAAACAATATTTTAAAGACAATAATTTAAATCCTGTAGACATTTTTCATAAATTAATCAATCTTCCATGTAATTCTTTTTTTACAAGTTTGATTGGTTACTTTGGACAATTCGGTATCGGTACCGATGTTAATTATCAATTAGCCATTTCTTCTTATATACATGCTTCAAAATCTTCTATTCAAAACACTTCTTCTTGTGATGTTTTACTTTGTAATTTGGTTAGAAATAATCGTTTCATTGGTCAAATTTCTTTAGCTTATTCATATTTTGGTGGTATCGGTGTTAAAGAGGATATCAATTTGGCTTATTCTTTATATTTAGATGCTGCTATAAATAATTTTGGTTTGGCTCAATATTTTGTTGGTCAATGTTTTGAAAATGGTTATGGCGTTGAAAAAAATTTCTTGAAAGCCTTTGAATGGTATAAAAAATCCGCTGAAAATGGTTCAACTTTTGGTCTTTTTGGTCTTGGAAGATGTTATCAATTTAGTATAGGCGTTTCTAAAGATGAAAAAAATGCTTTTAATTGTTATTTAAAATCCGCTGAAGGTGGTAATTTTAGTGGAAAAAATAATCTTGGCTATTGTTATGAAAATGGCATAGGTGTTGCTAAAAATGAAAAAAAAGCTCTTGAGTGGTATTTAAAATCTGCTGATGCTGATAATACTAATGGTCAAAATAATTTTTTAAGATGTTATCAAAATGGTATAGGGATCGATAAGGATGAAAATGTAGCTCTTTTATGGTATTTGAATTCGGCTGAAAATAATGATTTACTTGCTCAAAATAATCTTGGTTGGTGTTATCAATATGGTATAGGTATTGCTAAAAATTTAAAAAAAGCAATTGAGTGGTATTCGAAATCTGTAGATGGTGATAATTCCAGTGGTCAATTAAACCTTGGTTATTGTTATCAAACTGGTGTGGGTATTAAGAAAGATGAAAAGAAGGCTTTCGAATTATATTTGAAATCCGCTAAAAGCGGTAATTCTTACGGCCAAATTTATCTTGGGTCATGTTATAAAGATGGCACTGGTACTGATAAAGATGAAAAGAAGGCTTTTGAATGGTATTTTAGATCTGCTAAATCTGGTAATTCCAGTGGTCAAAATAATCTTGGATGGTGTTATAGAAATGGCGTAGGGATTG